ACTATCATTCCAGTATTGGCGCCCCGCCTTTTGAGCTGTTGTATGGTCGAAAATGTAGAACCCCGATCTGTTGGGGAGAGGTTGGACACAGAGTGTTGGGTCGGACGGAGGTAGTTTTAGAGACTACCGAAAAGATCCAGCAGATATCGGGAGGACCACTTATGGGTACAAGCGAGGTGGTTGGAGCTATATCGGGAGGAGTGGACAGTATCATTTCCGAGCTACTAGCAAGGTGAGTTATCCTCACTATATCAATAGGGTCTAAGGCACCAAGGCCGACCCTTTTAGTTGTTATCTTGGTTACAGTATGCTACATGTGGTTATGATCTGTTAGATCGGTAACAGGATAGACAGTATGTTGTTATGCTCTTATGATCTGTTAGGATTGGTATGTTAGTGACCTGGTTAGGTCGGTGCTCTGGTTAGGAGAGATGGCTATGATCGATGATCTAGGAGATAGATATATCTGATGTCTGTATATGCTAGCATATGTTAGTCTTGTGCATATGGTTTTGCTTGATGTTTGGGTTGAGGCGGTCCTGCTTTGTGCTGAAGGCCAACATACCCTACGAGCGGTCCGGGTAGACTGTGGGCCCGTATGGCGGTCCAGTCATACCGATGGCTCGGGATAGATCCAGATAGACTGAAGGCCCGGTTGGGCGGTCCAGTCAGGCCGAAGGCCCAGTATGCATGTTGTTGATTATCTGTTATTGATATGGTATTATCGGTGTGGTATTGGTATTTTTGGGGTAGCTCACTAAGCCCTCGAGCTTACAGTTTCAATTTATTGTTTCAGGTACTTCCGGAGATCGTGGCAAGGCGAAGGCTTGACCGTACCGCTCCTCATCCATATGATTATACTTCTGGGACACTCTGATGAATAATATTTTGAAAACATTTTTGTAAAACACTATTTGGTTTTATGGTTGAAAAAGTTTAAATTTGGCTTAAAATTTTTGGGATGTTACAACAATACTTTATCAAGTTCATATAATAATGTCGTTATATTGTTATTGAAAAGTGTGAAAACTAAATAATCATTTGGGGGAAAAGAGTGCAAAAGAAATAAACGCCCTCAACTAACAAAAGAAGAAAAATAATACAAATTTACAGCACATTTGACGTTTGTTAAGGAGCCTATATCATATTGACATTTTCTTTCATGTGTACTTTGGGTTCACCTTTACGTCGAGTTCCCTGCATTTATATATATGAGTTACTTAACTAAGAAATAAATGCAAGCAGGAAGGGTGACGTTCAATCTGAAATTATCATATGGGAGTTTATACAATCCAGTAAGCATCATTTTCCCTTGAAAGCTCCCAATTTTATTCCAATTTTTCCTTGTTTTTGCTTCTATGGTAAGATTATGTGGCTAATGAGTGTAAAATTAGTGTAACACCTTCTAAAAACATGGAAATAGCAAACCTGATTTATTCAAACATCATAAGGTGGTTTTTTATTTAATAATTTTTGTTTATTGAAAAAATATTTCTTTAATAAAATTGCGACTTTATGGCAGTTTTTAAAACCATTGTTACTATTAGTAATTTTCAAAGCAACTTACCTCTTAAATTGCACATAAACCTTATCAAGCTTTATTTAAATGACAATACATTACAACCCAAAGTAAAATCCCCGAAGAAAGAATGAAGGTAGGTTTCTATTTATTTGTAGCAAATCATTTAAATACAAAGCAATTTTCACCGCTTAAATTAGATATATTTTCAAAGTACAATAGCTGGATGCAAAAGAATGCTCATAATTGAATAAAGCATGTTGCTAAAATTTGAGTTAATAAAGTACAATGCTTACAAACTCGCAATGCTTCTAGCCACAAAATACCCTTTTTTAAATTTTCACCATTAAAGGAAGCAAAGTTAGCCATTTATTTGCTTATCATGGTGATGTCTTTCTTATTTGTATATTTCGTACTGGGTCTTCATTTCCAATTTATTTTTCATGTATTCTACATTTTAGAGAACAACCAGTCATAAGTCATGCATTGCTGCATAAAATTTGTGTTGAGAGTGTGTTAGTTGCTCCAAATATTTTATCTGTTGTGATTTTTGTCACATATCATCATTCAGCTGAATATATAATGCTATAGGAAAAATAAAGTAGCATAACCAAGTAGATACTTCCTTTACAGAATGTATCGGAGGTGCATATCTTAGCTGCAATAAGGGATGACAAGGAGGAAGTTATAGTTGGATACACATGGCTGATAATAGATAATTTATTTGTAATACCATTGTAATTTCATTTCCTTATCCCTAATAGCAATGTAATCTACTTTCCTTGCGCATAATATCAGTGTACTTCAATCTGCTGAAAATATGTGGTTTGAAGATATAAAGGTTTATGAAGCGACTCCAGTGGACTATATATACACGTACGTTATATGTATGTATACCCAACATAAGAGTTGGGTGTCATTAGATTGACAATAGAAACCAAGCATGTAAAACCCATCTGGTATTAGAAATGGCTCAAAAAAGATAACACCAGTATCATGTGGTCCCCCTTCGAAGGTGGACCAGATTCTATTAAAAGATGTTTTTTGACGAACTTGAAGTCCTCCAAGATTAATGGTTCTGTTTGCAAAACCGTCACCTGTATGAATTGAATCAAAACATAATTAAGTTTATTTCCAACACCCATCAATTGATCGTGTCATCGTGAGTACTCCACATGAACATTACATGTATGCGTACATACACATAACATACATATATTGTTTGTTGGTTGTTTGTTATTAGTCACTTCAATAATATATCCAAATATGCCCTTATTTATTTTTTATTTCTTTTTTCTGCATGGGGGCATGGTTGAAGCCTTTCACTAATGAAGTACATGTTGAGCTTGGAAAAAAAGGTGTCAAGAGTCTCCTTGCAGTTCCCGTTAGGCAAATATTTAAACTTAAATCTTTCCTTTATCAAATATGTAACATTCTATATGGGGTTTGATGCAATGTGGCCCTATACTCCTATTTTAGTTGTGTTTGATCCGGTGAGAATTTATGATGAGTTATTAATTCAAGCCCATTTACTCAAGATCTGGCTTCTACGATATCTTAGTTGGTTCTTAATTTAGTTTGTGTTTTTACTAGAACAGTAAATAGCTTTTGATGTCACATAATTTTTTTTAATTAAAATACAAATTGCTCCATTTGATCCCCAAAGTCAAAATTTGCTTCAACTTATACTTGTTTATTAATTATAAAATATAAACTCTATTGAAGAGTTTCTGCATTTATATTCATAATCAGTTCTGAATTCTCCTTTGTAGATCGAGGCTGCAAGGTGAGTGATGGAGAAATACTATCGACTATCGAGAACCAGAAGACTCATGGCCTTTACCTTTCCACCAACTTGGTGACTAATTAGAAGCTTGAAAAAGGACCATTATGTTAGCAACACCAAAAAAAGATGTACCTCTGTTCAAGCAACTCAATTCCAAATAGCATATGCCAGTGTATTACTAAAATACAATGTACTTTCACTTTTTTGATATTAGCAAAATATACATTGATGACAATTGAAAAATTCACAAATCACCCTCCAAGGACCGTGCTTAGCACGGGCCACCAACTTTTCTAGTGTATATATATATATATATATATATATATATATATATATATATATATATCTATATATATATATATATATATATATATATATATTGAAGACTTATTTTTGATTGTGGAAGGTATTTTTTTGATTGGATTTTGATACGTATTGTTTTTTGTTCTTAGATTTAATGGTCATCACTGAAAATAATTTTGAATAATAACAAAAAAGGAAAAATAATAATTTATTAAATAAAATGGATATATTAATATTAAATATATATACATGTGGAATTTAGGTGGACAAGAACTCAAGAATAGTCCATGTCATATACTAACTAGAAAGTTTTTTAACCCGCAAACCTGGAGAAAATCTCTTCAGACCCTCATTTAACCGGTCAAATACAAGTTTAAGGAGCTATAACACAGGAAAAAAAAACATAAGAGACCATTTAAAACCAAAAGCAAAAGTTTATTGAGTTACAATGATATTAACCAATATACTTAACGTTTAAAGATAAATAATCAAGGTTTATTAATTATTAGTAATTCCGTGAGCTAATCTTGGCTTTCCTGTTTCATATATTAGAACTTAGGGGATTGAAAAAACCATTTTGCTCCAAGTCTGTCAACTTGTAGAAAATGTGTAAAAAGTTTTTGTCCAACTTGGAATATAAATCCAACCATATATTAAAATAATAAATTATTGATGACTAATAGAGTAAGGAAGCTAACAAGTAACAACCATGGGTGACCCACTGCTTTCCCTGCACTAGAGGGCTGCTTTTAATCCACTAGTTGTTTCAAGAAAACAGCCAACTAAATTACAATCAGTGTTTTAAAAACCGGTTCGAACCGGCCGGTCGAACCAGTCGAACCGGGAACCAGAGGTGAGGACGGTTCGATTTGGACCGGTTTTATAACGATTTCCTTACCGGATTGAACCGGCCGGTTTTGGTAAAAAACCGGTTTAACCGGCTGAATTGAACCGGAATGGACCGGATTGAACCGGACAGTCTTGGATTTTTGTGTTTGTTTTGGGCTTCTTTGTTTGATTTTGGCTTCTATAATGATAGTTTTTAGATGATGCATTCTATTTAAGTCTGTAATACAAAAAATATGACAAGTTTTGTAATCAATGTATGTAGGATAATTAAAAACATATAAAAATATAGAACCGGTTTGATCATCCGGTTGAACCGGAAAACGTCACCCGACCAGTTCAATTAAAAAACCTGTTTTTAAAACATTGATTACAATACGTACAAAAAAAAATTCCAACCATTACTAAATTATGCAATTTAAAACGACTGAGGTAGTCCACGCATGGTCAACTTGTGGAATATAGAATCTCAAAACTGAAATCTTCTACAGCTTGATAAACCCAATAAAATGCTTACATCCTGGTTTCAGAAATCGTAAACAGCAAATGATGAGAGAAATTTTCCTTCTATTCCTCCTCTTCTATTCCTTGATCGAATCTTCAGCTTCAAAGAACACCATTAAAGACCATCTTCAGAGGGGTTCCTCTCTATCTGTTGATGATAGTTCAGACGTCATAAGGTCCCCAGACAACACTTACACCTGTGGCATCTATGGCTTCCAAAGCAATGCTTATTGGTTCGCAATTTGGTTCACAAACTCTAAAGAGCGCACAGTGGTCTGGACAGCCAACCGCAACACACCTGTGAATGGCCGTGGATCAAAGCTGACATTTAGGAGAAACGGAGCCATGGTTTTGACAGATGTGGATGGCATGGTCGTGTGGGAAACAAACACAACCTCCACAGATGTAAACAGAGCAGTGCTGCTGAATACAGGTAATCTGGTATTGAAGAACCAAAAAGGTCAGATTCTTTGGCAAAGTTTTGATTATCCAACTGATACTCTATTGCCTTCTCAAACACTAACAAAGAGAAAAAGCTTGATATCTGCTTTAAGAAAAGGAAGTTTTGAACCTGGGTATTTTGTTTTGAGCTATAACAGTATTAACGTGTTAATACTGACCTACGACAGCCCAGAAATATCAAGTGTCTACTGGCCTAGTCCTGATCCTGGATTTAATGTCTGGTCTTACGGAAGAACTTTATATAACAGCAGCAGAATCGCAGCATTTGATGATTTTGGTGTATTTAGATCAAGCGATCGGTGGCAGTTTAATGCTTCAGATATGGGTTTTGGGATCAGAAGAAGGTTAACCATGGACTATGATGGTAATCTCAGGATTTATAGCTTGAACGATTCAACTGGATTATGGTCGATTTCATGGCAAGCTATTGCACAACCATGCAATGTTCTCGGAATCTGTGGGAGAAACGGGATCTGTGATAATGGAGTACTACAATCGGAATGTTCATGTCCACCCAACCACCAGCAGACTAACCCTACTGATGTAAGTCAGGGTTGTAAGCCTACTTTCAATACAACATGTTCAAACTCAACAAAGTTTGGATTTTTGGAAATGCCGAATACAGATTATTATGGCTTTGATTTAAATTTAATAGATGCATTCTCACCAACTTCGTTCGATGCTTGTAAGGATATGTGTTTACGAAATTGTAGATGTATAGCATTTAATTACAGGTTAACTGGTGAAGGATTTTGCTTTATTAAAAATGCTCTTTTCAACGGCTTTCGGTCTCCTAATTTCCCAGGAAGCATCTACTTGAAAGTACCGATTGGCATGGAAACAAGAGAATCTGTCTCAGTTCTTACTAGTTCTAACGCCACATGTGTTTCTCCATCTATGTATGAGACATCTGAAACAAAGGTGAAATGGGTTTATCTTTACTCCTTCGCTATAGCTATTGGTGTGGCTGAAGCTTTTGTTATCTTGTTAGGGTGGTGGCTTTTTTATAGAAAGAATGCCCTCCTAACTAACCTAGAAGAGGGGTATCGTATGGTATCAGGTCAGTTTAGGGGGTTTACTTATCAAGAATTGGTGAAGGCGACACAAAACTTTAAGGTGGAGATAGGGAGAGGAGGCTCAGGGACTGTGTATAAAGGGATTTTGGAAGATGAAAGGGTGGTGGCTGTGAAAAGGTTAAGAGATGTGAGCGAAGGTGGAGAGTTTTGGGCAGAAGTGAGCACAATCAGTAAAATCAACCACATGAACTTGGTGCGAATGTGGGGTTTATGTTCACAGAAACAACACAGACTTATAGTTTATGAGTACGTGGAAAATCTTTCTCTTGACCAGAGATTGTTCTCCTCGAGTTTTCTTCAATGGAATGAAAGGTTCAAAGTTGCCATAGGAGTAGCAAAAGGTTTAGCTTATTTACACCATGAGTGCCTAGAATGGGTGATTCATTGTGATGTTAAGCCAGAAAACATTCTTTTAGATGAGTCGTTCGAAGCAAAGATTGCAGATTTTGGTCTGGCGAAGTTGACTCAAAGAGGTGGTCAAAACTCGGAGTTTACTAGGATTAGAGGAACAAAAGGATATATGGCTCCAGAATGGGCTAGCAACCTTCCTATTACATCAAAAGTTGATGTCTGTAGCTATGGGGTTGTGGTTTTAGAAATGGCAAGGGGAATTCGACTTTCTAATATTGCTGTGCAGGAAGGGGAAGAGGAAGAGGAAGAAACGGAGCTTATGAGGTTTGTAAGGGTAATGAAAACGAAGCTTCAAGGAGAAGAAATGGAGTCATGGATTGAAGAGATAATTGATTCGAGGTTGGGAGGATTGTTCAGTATGAAGCAAGCTGCAAAACTTGTTGAGATTGGTGTAAGTTGTGTGGAGGAAGACCGAAATAAAAGGCCTACTATGGATTCAGTTGTCCACGATCTAATCGATTGCGAGTCGGAGTAGACATGCTACTGTTTGTTTGTCGGAGTAGACATGCTACTGTTTGTTTGGTATTCCGGTGAAAAGTTGCCTCCAAAATTAGCAATTGGCAAATAGTTTAGGGGTTATTTCCGTAACTTATCATTATTATATGTGTATAGTAATATGCAATATGAATTTGAAGATTGTAGGCGCAGCAATTTTGTCTTGGACGGCATTTTTGTTTTCTTCTTTCATTTGTATTCTCCTCTTTGGCTATAAATAGCCAGAGAGATTAAACCCACGAATAACCCAACAATCAAAATATATATATATATATATATATATATATATATAGTAAAACATTATTATATATATATATATATATATATATATATATATATACTGATACACCACTATATATTTTAGCCCTCTCACTCTATTTATAATCTCTTTCATAATCCCTGTAAACACTGCAAATTATAGTGAATTGTTTCTCGGCTTCCTCCGTGCGTGGTTTTTTTTTCCGATTTGGGTTTCCACGTAAATTCCTGTGTCTCTATTCTATTTATTTTATTCGTATTTCGTTGTGATTATTACGCTTTGATAATTTTTGATCTCATTCCGCATTGAGCTAATATTATTTAAGTCTATTCGGATCCTTCGTATTTCACAACAATTGGTATCAGAGCATCCGGGTTGTAATATTAGCTCATTGGGATCATTTTATCAAGTAATTAATCATGTCTTCGGTAAAATACGATATTCCACTACTGGATCGTAACACACGATTTTCGTTGTGGCAAGTAAAGATAAGAGACATTCTCATTCAGATGGATTTACACAAGGCGCTTTTGGGTTTCAATAAGATGCCCGATACATGGACCGAAGAAGAAAAGGAGATGAAAGATCTGAAGGCTTTATCCCAGATTCGTTTGCACTTGTCAAACGATGTTTTGCAAAATGTTCTAAAAGAAACGTCAGCGGCTTCTTTATGGCTAAAGTTGGAGCAACTGTTGATGACCAAGAGCTTACCAAACAAGTTGCATTTGAAGTAACAGTTGTTCAATCTCAAGATGATTGAAGAAGGCTCTTTAACTGAACATATATCCACATTTAAAGAGTTAGTAAATAACTTAGAGAATATGGATGTTCAGTATGAAGATGAAGACTTGGCTTTATTCTTACCGTCGTCGTTGCCAGAATCCTATAGCCATTTTCGTGATACTATTATCTATAGCCGTGACACTTTAGTTTTAGATGAAGTCTATACAGCTTTGGATTCCAAAGAGAAGATGAAGCATATTACTGGTGGTGGTTCAAGTGATGCTAAAGCCGAAGGTTTGAATGCCAGAGGAAGAACAACAGAGAGAAGTAGAACTTCTCAATCTTCCAACAGAACCAGATCCAAATCAAAAGGCAAACGAAAGTTTTGCAACTATTGTCACAAGAAGGGACATGTGCTTGAAGAATGCTTCAAGTTGAAGAATAAAGAAAAAGAGAAGACGGCAGCAAATGGTAAACAAGCTAGCACTTCGGGTGAAGCCGATGTAGCTGAGGTGGAAGGTATTGGAGAACTTTTGACAGTTTATTCAGATAAACTGGATTCCACTGGTGATTGGATACTCGACTCTGGTTGTACTTTTCATATGTGTCACAACAAAAGTTGGTTTTACACATTTGAAAAGGTTAACCAGGGCTATGTGTTGATGGGTAACAATACTACATGTCCAGTTCTTGGACATGGTTCAGTCAGGATCCGTATGTTTGACGGAGTTATTCGAACCATGGGGGATGTTAGATATGTTCCTGACCTCAGAAGAAACTTGTTATCTCTCATTTCCTTTGACAAAAGGGGATACGAGTTTGCTGGTAAAGGTGGAGTTCTCAGGGTATTCAAAGACGGCTCCGACAAACTGAGAGCCAAACGAAAAACCTCAGATCTTTACTTTCTTGACGGGCAAACAATTTCGAGTGATGCTGCTGTTGTTTCAAAGTCTCTTTCTGATCCAGATCAATCCCGTCTTTGGCACCTTCGACTCGGCCATATGAGTTTTCAAGGCATTACTCGACATCGCACAGTAGTCCATTCACCTCAACAAAATGGTGTAGCTGAAAGGATGAATCGCACCATTATGGAGAAGGTCCGGTGTATGCTTTCTAATTCCAAATTGCCAAAGTCTTTTTGGGCGGAGGCTGCTTCGACTGCTTGCTATGTTATCAACCGATCACCGTCACGAGCAATCGAGAAGAAAACTCTGTTTGAGTTATGGTCCGGTAAACCTGCCAATTATTCAGATTTAAAACCATTCGGATGTCCAACGTATGCACGAGTTGACAATGGGAAGCTAGAACCAAGAGCAATCAAATGCGTTTTTCTTGGGTACAATCAAGGTGTAAAGGGTTACAAGTTATGGAGCTTTGATTTGAAGAAAATTATCATCTCAAGAGATGTTACTTTTGATGAGTCTGCTATGATTCAACCAGTTGCTGACTCTTCTAAAAGAACAGATGCATCAGATGTATCATCCGAAGCAAATAAAGAGTATGCTCAAATGGAGGTGGAGCTTCCTACTTCACCTACCACTAATCAGAGTACAAATCAGCATCAAGATTCTTCTTCGTCGGATGAGCATGTTGTTGGTGAAGATTCAACACCTTCACAACCACAAGCTACTACTCCAAGCATTGCAAGAGATAGACCGAGAAGACAGATTATTCCTCCGAAGAGGTATGCTGAATCTGATTTGGTTGCCTATGCTTTTATTGTTGCTGATAATATTGAGTACGCAACGGAGCCTGCGAATTATGACGAGGCTATCAAATCTGAAGACTCAAATGATTGGATGCTCGCTATGCAAAATGAGATGGAATCCTTGCAGCGAAACAGTACTTGGAATTTAGTTCCTATTCCGAAAAGGAAGAGACCAGTTAAATGCAAGTGGGTCTATAAGCTCAAGGAACCTGTCAACCCAAATGATAAACCAAGATACAAAGCTCGGTTAGTAGCTAAAGGCTACAGTCAGATTCCTGGTATTGATTACACTGACATTTATTCCCCAGTTGTCAAACATACTTCCATTCGTGTATTGTTGGGGTTGGTTGCTTCTAACGATTTTGAGTTAGAACAACTTGATGTCACTACAGCTTTCCTAAATGGTGAGCTTGAGGAAGAGATTTTTATGCAACAACCTGAAGGTTTTGTAGTTCCTGGAAAGGAGAACTACGTATGCAAGTTGAACAAATCTCTTTATGGCCTCAAGCAGTCTCCTAGACAATGGTACAAGAGGTTCGATTCTTTCATGACCAGTCACAAATTCAACAGGTGCACCTATGATAGCTGCGTTTATTTCAAGAAAGGTGACAATGGTTCAAAGATCTACTTACTCTTGTACGTGGATGACATGTTGATTGCAGCAAAAGATATGAAGGAGATTCAGAAGTTAAAAGACCAGTTGAAAGCTGAATTTGAAATGAAGGACTTAGGAGCTGCCAAAAAGATTTTAGGTATGGAAATTATTCGTGACAGGAAGTCTAGGATCTTGCATCTTTCTCAGAAAAGTTATATTGAGAAAGTCCTAAGACGCTTCAATATGCACGAAGCAAAGTCTGTCAACACACCTTTTGCAGCTCATTTCAAGCTATCATCCGCTTTGAGTCCTACTAATGAGACTGATATGGCTTACATGGCACGTGTTCCATACTCTAGTGTTGTTGGATCTTTAATGTATGCTATGATCTGCACACGCCCTGATTTGGCTTATGCTGTTAGCATGGTTAGTAGATACATGGCGAACCCGGGGAAAGAACACTGGAAAGCAGTACAGTGGATTTTTCGTTATTTACGAGGTACGTCTTCCATGTGTTTACGTTTTGGAAAATCTAACACTGGGGTGTTCGGATATGTTGATTCAGATTATGGAAAAGATTTGGATAAACGAAGATCAATTACAGGGTATGTGTTTACACTAAATGGTTGTGCTGTTGTTGGAAAGCCCAGTTGCAGTCTACAGTTGCCCTGTCTTCTACCGAGGCAGAGTACATGGCGATTACAGAAGCAGTTAAGGAAGATATCTGGTTGAAGGGGTTATTCGGAGAACTCGATGATAG